TATATATATATATATATATATATATATATATATATATATAGTATATATATATATATATATATATATATATATATATATATATATATATATATATATATATATATATATAGTTAATAGCAATGTTGTTTTCATGGAAACAAATATATGGAATCAATGAGCCATATAATTCAAAATAAATTAGCAAAAAGTGCTTCAAGAAATGAAAGGGCGGTGATAACTTCATATCTAACAGTAATTGTTTACGAGACTGACTTCCTCATCTGAGACAAAGTCCCTCAACAGCAGCCAAATGACTTTCTGGAACCTGTTTAAGCTCTAACTTGCCATATATATACAAGGAGAAGACAATGTGTGAGGGGGGTGTTGGGGGGGCAGAGCTCCCACTCAACCCTGCAATCTGTTACTTCCCTGAAAGTCAGTTGACTGCTGTTGAGGTGCTTAGCCTCAGACGAGTGCATGTCTCGTAAACAATTACCACAGCTTTATGCCATGGTGTAAGTATGCTTTCGTGTAGGTGTGGAATTTAATTATGTAATTTATGCTTTATTTTTTCTTCATGCATAGCCAAAATATTATTATCATCCTAGTGACAAATGAAGAAAGCAGTTAATATAGATTTTGTATGTGAAAAAGCAGTGCCATAATCTAAAACATGATTCTGAGTGAAGGTATACATGTTCCCAACATAAAATCCTATTTATAAATCATATTTACATATTTGGTACAGTGATTCAGTATAGAAATTGACCTGTTACATTACTTACTTCTCTGTTGTACCTGTGGAAACGTACGATATACATAAATTTGGTGTGTTTCCTTATCTCTTTTGCAAATCATGCAAGGATAAAGGTGCCGTCACACTAGCACTTTTTCGTCAATTACTTTACAATTTTCTGATTTTTTTCACCATTTTTGAGCGAATTGTCGATTCTCCAATCAGACGACAATGATCGTTTCCGTCTGAAAACCTCAACGTCAACTTTTTCAGCCAAGCATAGTCAGATCAAGAGCTATATTCGAGAATGTGTATTGATGTTAAATAAAATTGTCAAAAAATGGACGGAAAAAAGTGCTAGTGTGACACGGTCTTCACACCCACCACCCATTGTGACAGTAAAGTCGAATTTCGCGCGTCGTCTGCTTCACGATGTATTTGAACAGAGACATCTAGCATGTTCGTTTGTGGGTTATCGAACTCACAGCGGAAGTCCTTTTCTTTCCTATCTTTCCTTATAGTCTTTGTCCCTCCACAAGCACTCGAGTGTACACCTGAGTGGCATAGATAGGAAAACCTGACAATGTCCGAACCGCACAAAGTTGAGCAAATATAAAGATGGTTATCGGGAAATGCTTTATATCCTTAGAGAAATATTTTCATGCGTTTTTTTTCTGATTATGTTTTAATATTTCCATTATAAAACATGAATCATCATGTAAACATTTTTTCCCCCTGACGGTAAAGTGACTCCTGGTAGTCTAGGTGTTAATTAAACAAGAAACAATAATAGCAAAATTAGATGGATATGAAACTTAAAATAATACCACCTTATCCATATACGAAATAGTTTTTTTCTTACATTGAAAAAGAAAAAACAAAATCGCATCAAGGTTTTGTTTACGTTTGTCTTCTCAGCTGGAGGGTGTGGGAGGGTGTCGTAGGCCCACCTAAAACTCGTCTAAAACCCAATAAAAGAAGAAAGAAGACATCTAAAACCCCACAAAGCAAAGAAATATCGGAGATCCATGGAATATTGACATAAAGAGCCTAAAGCCCTATAAAAGAGAAGATTATCGGATGGTGAGTTTTATAGGCTTGTCTTTCATTGGGAATCGGAGATACGTTTCTGAGGTGGATTCGGCCAGTCGTTCCCATATATTTTTTGCTTTGAAAGTCAAGTCTGAGTAATTTTCTATCTTACGTCCGTTGGTCTGATATCAACGATTTTGGTATCGCATTACTAGCACTGTCCACAATGCAAATATATAGGTTTTATTGTGCGGAAACCTCCCGTTAGCGACAAACTTGCCCCGATAGCAGGGGAGAGCATGAAAGGTTCCAGGGAAAATGCGGGGTTAAATAACACTAAGTAAATAACGCACAATGAAAATAGTCAAGGAAACAAAAACTCCTCCACATATTCACAGCAGAATAGAGCGCACACAAACTAGATGCGGAGCAGGAAAGCTACCATATAACCTAGGATTTATAAGGTATAATAATCATTCACATTAGTATTCATTGTAGGGGTCTCTGCCCCTGATGACTGCCCCACGGGGGGTTGCTACCCCCTGCCCTGTCAAGGAAACAAAAACTCCACGTATTCACAGCAGGATAGAGCGCACACAAACTAGATGCGGAGCTGAAAAGCTAATACCTAGGATTTATAAGGTATGATAATCATTCACATTAGTATTCATTGCAGGGGTCTCTGTCCCTGATGACTGCCCCATGGGGGGTTGCTGCCCCCCTACCCTGTCAAGGAAACAAAGAATCCTAAAAGTATTCACAGCAAGATAGAGTGCATACTAACTAGATGCGGAGCTGATAAGCTACTATATAATCTAGGATTTTTAAGGCATTAACCTATTGATAGATGCTCTGATGGAGAAGGCCATGGTGGAAGCACATTGCAACCTCACGCATGAAGTCCGTTTCGGAATTGGAGCACCCTCTACATTTGGCCTTCGTGGTGGCTATGACTGAGTACCAAACACGACAGTGGCAGACAAGTGCATACCATACCTGTTTTGAATGCATATCTCGTTTCCAGAAGAATGAAAATTATACCATACTATTTCAGTTATGAACACAGATCTTGTGGTTCCAGAGAACGGGAAATTCGACCTTGAGGATATGTTAGCGATACATAGCGACATAGTCACTTAAAAAACAATATGGGATAATAACTGCCATCTATTGGCTAACTCTAATATACGTCTTAATAGTATACATATATCATTCCACTCCATCATCCGAGGCTATCTGTGTAACCTCAAGAGCTGCGCGAAACCCGTTGAGGAGAGCTCTACTGTTCTTGGTATACCTTGTTCATCCTCATTATACTACAATCTCCTCAGTATACAATACTGACTATGTCAAGGTTAGTATGCTGCTTCAGTGGGAATGTTCCAATACCTCTATGATTGTTCATAGAGGTATGTTCCAATACCTCTATGCCACTCCCCCCCCAGGGGGGTAGGGGTGCAGCCCCCTGCAATGAAAAGTAATGTGAATTATCATCATTATTTTCATTGTGGGTTATATTATTAATGTTATTTAACCCCATATTTTCCTTGGAACCTTTCATGCCTTCCCGTGCTATCGGGGCCAAGTTTGTCACTAACTGGGGGTTCCCATACAATAAAACCTATATATTTGCATTGTGCACAGTGGTAGGCATACATTGATACCAAAATCATCGAAGTCCGACTAGCGGACATAAGATAGAAAATTGCCCAAGTCTGGTTGAAATTTAACCTTAAGTTTATTCACAATACCATAACCAAATTCAAATTTTCATTTGCCTTTGAAGTCATTTCCAATAGTAATGCCTTAACCTAACATTTGACTTGGTAATTTTCTGCAATACGTCCACCAAACGGATTGCAGTGTTTTCAGTATCGTTGGATTCCTCTCACCATCTACAATGCAGATATGTAAGTTTTATTGCGAGGAAACCCCGCAATTTCCCTATTACCTCTCATTCCCTCTCCAGCCAAGAATCTGGGGTTTTGGAGGGATTCTGTGCAATATTTATTTGGAAACTAGACAGTAAGAGGAGTCCAATGATACAGAAATTGTCGCAGTCTGTTTGGTAGACATATTCCAAAAATTACCTTTGGTTTTTCAGAGGAGAAAATTTAGGCATATCTTTGTTGAAAGACCACATTTTCTTACAAATGGCCATGATCTGTAATCTGTGATGGAGAGCATAGTTTGAAGCCTAATTTATTAGTTGTATAATGTCAAATAGTTCTGTGGTCTCTATATCTGTCAGCCTTATGGCAAGTACTATCACTTCCTCTTTCCTTTTCTATGTATCTCAGGTGTAAACCTTTTGTCTGTATTATTTTGAAATCTCATCTACAGAATTCATGATCTGTGAAGTAGTAGTATCCTAAATTGTTATTATTTTATAATCTTTCTCATTTCCTCAGGGACAGCAATCAACAAGTAGCCCATTGCAATCTCCATCATGTCGGTGCTCAACAAGTTACATGAAGGCTTTACAAATGAAGACCAAAATTACCTAAAGGTTTTGCAGGTTATTCGCAACCAGGGCCAGAGAGTGTTATATCAGGTCCTGCTCTGGGGTTGGCCAAATGATGTACCTGTGACAAACATGACTAAGCACTTTCTTATTGACTTGCCTCAGTCAGGAAAGATTAAACTCAAGGTGTTTGACAAAACACAGCAGTCTAATATTAATGCCGACCCAAAGGGAGACACTTATGATGTGTCACTGCTACATAAATGCATTAAGATTGCCTGTGTTGGTGTAGCACCATATGAAGATGATGCTTGGAAGCCAGGAGATGACACACGGCTTGAGTCCTTGGTGACCGAGATAAAAAATGAGAGAAATGAATTGTTTCACAAAGTAATTAGCATGGACAACAACACCATGTTCAGTAATATTGAAGAGATCAGAAAAATTTTGATTAAGACCATCGAAACTGCAGGAATTCGCTTTCATGTAGATCTTCAAGAAACTCAGAAAATCATTGCCAATGTAAATCACAATGTTAATGCAATCAGAGATGCTAGTCTTGATAAAGTGGATCTTCAGAAATATCAGAAGGTATTATTACATGAAAACTTAAAAACTTTTCTGAAGGTGAATGGCTCACAGGAGCTGAAGGAACGCATAAAGAAACTAGTGAAATTAAATCCATTCCACTTCCTTGATGGAAGTAATTACTGTTTTGAAGTTGGAAGTGTGTTCTCCAAGATTGAGATAGGGCAAGGTAATGGGGACAGTAAAAATCAGGAGATTGAATATATAGATATACTTAGACTAAGTGAATCATGTGAGAGCATATCTAGTATTGCTAGTAATAATGAAGCTGTCACGCTGATACTTTTAGAAGGGCAAGCTGGCTATGGAAAAACAACCATGTTTAAGTTTATATTAACAGACTGGGAAAGTGGCACAAATTTCATAAAGGACATAGCATCATTTGATCTAGTTCTGCCAATAATGTGTAGAGACTCACATGTAAGTAACTTTCGTGACCTTGTAAGTTCTCTTATGCCTAAAACATTGAGATCTTTCAGAAGCATAGATGATTTCATAGTCTGTACTTATAGCCTAAGAATTTTAGTTGTTGTGGATGGGCTTAATGAGATGACAAAAGATTCAAGTAAGGTATTTAATGACCTGCTATCTCGAATGAAATTGCATGATATGACTGTTCTATGCACCAGTCGGCCAGAAACAGTGAATACCCTCTTTTACCAAAGGATTCCTTCTGAACTGAAGAAGGTTCACTTGAAAATCAAAGGCGTGCCAGTAGGGCTGAGAGGGGATTTTGTACAGAAATATCATGATGAAATGATAAAAAATAACAAGAGTAAGAAGAGTACTGCTGGCCTTGTGGAGTACATCAATAGAACATCAAGTAAGCTCCAACATCACTTTAATTCACCTCTTAATCTTGTACTTTTAACTCATCTTTGGTCTATGTATCCTGACATGGTGAACAGTGTTACAACTGCAACTGAGCTGTATTCAAAAGTGGACATGTTGCGGATTAATGAGCTAAAATTAAGACTGTCCAACAGTTATACAAATATAGATAGGACTAATGATTGTCAAAGGTTTGAGAAAGCATTGTTTGCTGAAGCACTGATATCAATCAGTAGAAATGATGCTAACTTACCAGAAAATTCAAAGCAGAGATTAAGGAAAATGTGCAATGAACTCAAGTTGGATTTTGAGGAAGTCTTGTTTCACTTCTTAGTCATGAAGGGAACCTTTACAGTGACTGGTAGAAGTGAAGTGATCACATTCCCGCATCAGGATATTCAGGATTATTATGGAGCCAGGTGCCTGTATTTTGCTCTTTTGAGTGATAGTTATTTTGACTTCATAAAGTATGGTGTATTGAGAAAAAAATTATCTGTATGGAAAAACCTTTGGAGTGTTCTGACTTCTGAAGAACAAGTGCCCTTACTGCCTGAGGCCCTGACAGAGCCACATCCCTTCCAAACACGAAGAACCATATCCAAAATTTTAGAAGAAGTCCATGGTACCAAGGTTGACTCCATAAACTTTTCCAGGTACCACAATGTGCTAAAGCACCTTGCAGGGCTTCTAGGTCAGCATGTACACCAGGTACCTGATGAGCTTTCCAAAGAGCTGCTCAAATTGTTCTGCCATGCTAATGTTGTCAGGAGAGATCAATGGCTTGATATCCTGAGGGAAGTGAAATGTGATGCATCAACATCAAAGTACATTGCCACCTTCGTCTCCCAGAGCTGTAAGGGTCACATCTATGTCAATGACGAGGAGGTAGGAATCTATGCCTCACTCATGCCCCACTCCAAGCCAGAAAAAGTGACTCTAGAATTAATAAGCAATCCGCGAGAGATTCCACGTCTGCCAGAGCTCCTCAGGGCAGTCGGCAACCATGAGGGTGTTCAGGTGAATCTGAAGCTCCATTATGACTTTGTGCATGGACAGGAATCGGATCAACTGCTTGATCATCTGAAGTCTGAACATGGAGATCTAAGGTATGTTTTGGATGGGATAAGATATGGGGTACATTTTGTTGTTGTAGGGCAGAAGATAAAAAAAGATTGTATTTGATTTTTTTTTCTTAAAGTTCAGAAATGAGTTTCTGTAGTCCTGTGGTAAACCACCCTACTGAGTGGCAACACCTTCAGAATATTAGTAGTAAAAATTAACATCTGGAAGAATGAATGTGGTTTGGCGTGTATCAAGGTAGAATACTTTCACATTATCATGCAGCACTCGGCTGGTTTGAAAAATACTTACCTCAGATCTGGAAAAATTAGCATAATGGATACGTCACATGTTATACCAAAAATTAAGATCATAACATGATCAGTTTATTAACAATAATCTTCTCCCTGTTGGAATTTAAAACTATTTGTACCCAGGCTGCTACTGTGGAAGTTCTTTTACATATATTGTTTACACTTGTTTGTTCCTTTTTATCTTAAATATATTTAAACTTTGTTACTTTCATCCTTATCATTTGTCATTTAAGTTAGATAATCATAGGGAGGGTGATTGTGAATTAGTAATTTTTGTTTATATTTTTTAACAAATGTTAAAAAAAACAAATTTGATTTCCATTCCTCCTATCTCACACATACACACACACATGCATGTACACACACGCACACACACACATACGGAAGCACACACACACATACGGAAGCACACACACATACGCACGCACACACACACATATGCACGCACACACACATACGCACGCACACACACATACGCACGCACACATGAATAGGCT